TATAATACTATAAAACCCCAATTATCCAAGATAATGCAGACCAATACCACCTCAGATAACCAGAAATGTAGAGAGGATTGCCACAGCCATTTTGAATCTTGGTTAATTGAGATTGATTCTTCTGTATACTTAATTATTATTTGATATTTATTATTAAAATGATAAATATTTCACAATATGAATATGACATTTTTGTAAGTACATGTAAAGTGTCACACTGCAAATTTTCAGCTGTGCAGACAGCTGAAACCACAATAGCCACAAGTTTTAGACCTGCATCAGAGACTATATACTTACGACAGCCATATTATAAAATTTTATTGGTCAATTTGTAACTAGTAATGGTTAAGTAGTATAAGTTATGATCACAATCAACAGCATGCAATTAGAAAAATGAAGCAAACAAAGCCTTCTTTTATATCTCAACAAGAAAAGACAATAAAAAATTAGAGTTTTTCTCTTCATTGTGAAGAAATTTCTCAAGGATTTATGATTCAAACTTAGTGATTCAATTTGTCACCACTTTAAATAGAATGATAAACATGGAGACATTCGTTCATTGGCTTTGCACTTGAAATTAATGAAATGTTATTTGTTCGCATTAATTTTACCAGTGCAAACAAACATTCTGTTTTTAGTTGCAGGTACAAATGTTATGCCATTTGCATATGTAAGATTAGCCGGGGTTACGGAGTAGATGATACTCATGTAACACTTAATCGGCGGCTAGACTATAAGACTAGTTCTCAGTTGTCTAGAAGAACGGCCTTTCCCTTTCTTAGGGAACGAGGGTGGAGGGGCTTACAGGTAATATTTTAAGCGGAAGTTGGTGATGGTGAATTCACCTTCTTCCTTATGTCAGGGTCCCGACACCAGTTTATCTATTTTTCGTATCGCGGATAAACACGCGGTTGTGTATATATGATATAGATCTGATTCAGACACAAGTAAGATGACATCTTGTTAATTTAATATAAAACAAATTTAATTAACTAAATAAACAATTAAACAATACAAGGAACAACAAGATCAGACAATGGACAAATGTGATATTATAAGCTTAATTAATACTAATATACGTATTTAGAGAGATACGAACTTGTCGAGAGAGAGATTACAAAGTCATTTCTAAACATACGACCTGATATATTTGTTGAGTCGTCTTCCTAATACGATGAAGGTTCTTCGTTAATAACAGTTCTTAATCTTCGGTTTATGCTGAGTCTGGATACGCACTAAGTTAAAATATCTTCTCACTCCTAACTCATTATTTATTCTATGTGATCCAACTAAGGGCATTGGTCATCAGGAGGAATATATATGTGGAGTCTGGACACTTCTAAAACTGTCGAAGAACTCCTCTATACTAAGGGCGTGGGCCTTAGGGAGCAAATATGGAGATATCTGTACTCTCTGTAATCTCCGGACGAACTCCTCGAGTTCTGCCAAATTTCCTCTATATCTCTTGATTTACGGCCAATCATCGGCTAGAAACTCTTTCATGTGAACGGATGAAAGGGGAATAAGTGAGGGGTAGATATTTCCCATCTGAGCAAGATTTTTAGTAGATAAGGGAAAAACAAGGGATGTACGGACTTCCCTCAAGGGAAGTAACATCTG